ATTAATGTTTGTTACAAAAGGCGATATTAATTTACGAAACTCCTCTCTTATTGTTGTATAACTAACTCCTCTGGTATCATGGTAACGTTCTGTTCGCTTAGTCTTAATAATACGACGAATTACAGGACTACTAGGGCTAGCGTTAGCTGGTAAATTCCTAATTAATTTTTCTGTAATATTAACTGGACACGTTGCTTTATCGGATCTTGCAATTAAAGATGTGTGACCCTCACGAAATTGGTCGTTTTTGCGTTTAGGAATAAACAAAAACATTTGATCATTATACACGGATATATCCATTAATCTTATGCTTTGAACTTCATTTATACGAAAAAAGCCGGCATAACCGACTAACAGTATAAATAGAAAACGGAGTACAGCCAAAGATTCGCTAGCACTATAGGCAGCTGTTATACGTTCAACTAATTCCAAAGTCAATGGCTCTTTGCGATTTAATGGTCTTGCCAGCATACGCTTCGCTCCTTCCAATGTGCCCTTTACAAGTGGATGGTCTGTAGGACAGGTCTGTAAACCAGCTAATCTGTGAGCCCAAGCTAAACTATAAACTGCTGTATCTAAACCAGAAACGCCAGTTCCTTTCTCCTTGGCGGAGTAGGCCAATTCAGTCAGGTAAAGAGCTATGTGAATAGCTTCCGCAGGGATCACGCTAACACCATATTTTAGAACACGCCCAACAACGCCATTTCAGCCAACTTGACTGGTATTTATGTACTGTTCAAGGGGCTTTGGAATTCAACTGTAAGCTTACAAGATTTGGTACAAGTTCCACTAACGAAGGATCTTTTATCAGGCGAAGTTTCCAGGCGCTGGACTCAAAAATATCTGCAAAAAACTGAAAAATGTACCAATTAGCTCTAACTTTAATCGAATATCAGAAGTTCAGACAGGGTTCCCGGCAGATTGTGAAATCACACAATTACAAACTCCAACAAGCTCGATACGTTCTCTAACGCACCTATAAGTAACACTCTTAGACAATGGGGTTTATAGGTTAAGTTTAGAAAAAATCACTTGCCTAAATGGCACGCCAAAAATTGGCATATAACCTAAATGGCTAAGTCAAAAACTTGACACATACGGCCAAAAATTGGCAAACCACAAATTGGTACGGACTAGAATTCATGCCCCGCAAAAAATGCATAACCGAATTGGTAAAATTGAATAAATTTCATAGACAAAGGCCTAAATGGCAAAAGCATGAAATGCTGTCGGCTACAACGAGCCTACATAGAAACTAAAAAATAAGTCAAAAAACTTGACAGATACGCCCAAAAATTGGCAAACCGCAATTGGTACGGACTAGAAGASGTGTCCCGCAAAATGCATAACCAAATTGGTAGAATTGAATAAATTTCATAGACAAGGGCCTGAATGGCAARAGCATAAAAATGCTGTCGSCTACAACGAGCCTRTATACAAACACMTAATTGGTGAAGTCTAATCGAAGAGCRWGCATGTTAAAACTCGGACAACCTGTTAACACCGACCGTTTCCTAGTATAGTATATACCGCTTTCTGTCCGGGTCCCTCGACAAGTAGGTCGGAGATTTTGGGAAGAACAAAAACATCCTTAATGAACTGTTCAAATTCACCGTTAGACTGGTGTAAGAATGGCCAAAAATAAGGCGATGGCCACTCAGGAACGATCAAAGTGCCTCTGCCATGGCAAGTCTCCAAAACTCTTAATGAAGGGACGATCAAATTGATTGGTGGACATAACCASTTATTCTCGTTGCTCCAATTCTGAACAAGAGCATCAACAGCGMAGCAACCGGGAGATGCGAATCTCGAATTGAACCTTGGTAAATGCGCATTATARTAGGACGCAAAACGATCGATTGTAAAGGGACCCCACTTGTGATTTAACAGATTGAAAACCGAAGGATGCACAGACCAATYATCTTTATCGAGAAACCTGCTAAGGTTCTGAACGGGGAATCCACTGTGCTTCTAGGACTATATTATTACGTAAACAAATCTGAAATATATCCAAAGCTACGCGTTGCAAGTGCGCTTTGGAGCTACCAATAGAGACTATACGGGCAGCACCTTGGTTGTCGGTAAACACTTTAACCTTCTTATTCCGTAACTGATCCAAGTATGCCAAACACACGTAATATATAGCCTTCAATTCTCTGTAGGTAGAACTTTGACCGACGTCTGAGGAAGTAAACATACCACTAACTGGACTACCGTCTATAGAGACACGGAATAACCGCCAAAACCTGAATCACTGGCATCTGATAAAAACTAAAGTAGATGACGTAGGTGGTGGACGAATGGAATAGCCATTGAAACAGTCTATGTTTAAATGCCAGAACCTAAGTTCCTCCAATAAACCGGGTGAAAAACACACGACACTGTCCCAAGATAACCTAGTTTCGATGGTTAAATACATTTGACGGGTAAAAAGGCGCGCAATGGGACCAACGGCTAGCGCGCACGAGATAACCGACCCTGCAATCTTTGCCAGAAAGCGATATGTGCAGTGCCCATCAGAGATGCATAAATCTAGTAGACCTTTTAACTTAGACAGTTTCTTTTCTGGAATTTGATATACCATAGCAATCGTATTTATCAAAAAACCGAGMCATTCGCCAATTTGCATAGGAACCCAATGGGACTTTTCCTCGTTACACAGAAGACCTGCTAAATGCAGCTCTTTGCGCTGAATTAAGGTGTTTCGATCGTAATAAATAGCGTTTCGCGCGTATTTTTAAACTCCAACTACGTCGCAAATTTCGATTCGATTGCACTCAAATTTTCACAGAAGTATAAGTGATTATCGATAATTCTTATTTATTTATTTATTTTTTATAGATTAGTTTGCCAAACAATGGAAGCAATTTGGATAGTCAATGCAAAATAAAAACACCTTCATTTTTCTTCAAAGTCAATTTTCTCAAAACGCATCGCAGAGATTGTAATAAAAATTTCAGAGTCATTTCTTAATAACATAATTGACATACTGACGAAGTTTGAATGAAATCTTAACCTAAATTTTCGAGATATTTGAGCATTTCAAAATGTTTCTAAAAACGTTGAGGCCATGTTTAAAGTCCTCGTTTGTGACAATATTCGAATGTTAAATGAAAAAACTACTATAGCTTGAAAGCTAAAATCTTTCGTACAACTGTTGTCCARGGCACATGCCCATTAGCTTACTACGAAAAAAGTTATTGCCATTTACGCAACTAGTATATTTTAGAAATTTAAACAACTTYATTTCGGAACGTAAAAGAATATTTCCTCCTTAAAACATTACGCTTTATCGCTCAAATAATCAAATTTCCATCACCAACAAATACTGCCAGCTATATTTGAGCTTCTGAAAGGGCTACATTACGATAAAATAATTTTTGACTTCCATTATCCAGCAGCTCGTGTGCGTTATTTTACAGCGTGACAAAATTTACATCATTTTCGGGGGAAAGGGGTGATGGCAAGTGCAGATTTACACAAGATAAAACAAAGATGCAATAAACACTGTTGTAAAATTCAGTGATAAAATTATGTTGTCTATCCATTCACCTCGGTGAAATCAACAAACTTAATAGTTTTGTACAAATTRGGAAATTTCGTAGCGAGGTGATTGATTTTTTTAATTTTATCTATTAATTTTACATTTCGTTTACTTTTGTTTCGTTTACTTTTTACGACTTTCTGTGTAAATCTGGACTTGCCATCACCCCCCGCCCCCTCCCGAAAATGATGTAAATTTTGTCACGCTGTAAAATTAGCATAGAGCTGTTATGTCAACAAACGCACACGAGCTGCTGGACGAAAACTTTCAAAATTTATTTTATCGTAATGTAGCCCTTTCGAAAGCTCAAATGTAGCTGGCAGTGTTTGTTGGTGATGGAAATTTGATTATTTGAGCGAAAACGCGTAGTGTTTTAAGTTTACGTTTCAAAATGAAGTTGTTTAAATTTCTAAAATATACTAGTTGCGTAAATTGCAATTACTTTTTTCGTCGTAAAGTAATGGGCATGTGCCTTGGACAACAGTTATACGAAARATTAAGCTTTCAAGCTATAGTAGTTTTTTCATTTAATATTGTTACAAACGAGGACTTTAAACCACAGGCAACCCAAGCAAAGCATTTGATTCAATTTTTAATAAAATACATTTTACCTTAATCTCATGTGTTGCTGATGTTGTTTAACATTGCTGTGTGTGATTTTGATGGGATTTAGAGCTATTTTTTAAAAAATATCGCCATCAGTCATAAAAGACTACAAGGCTCATGGTTACAGAGCGTCCACGCCACTCGTCTTTGAAAGCCGAAAAAATATCTTAAATCCATTTTTTGCCTCCAAAATTCCCTCAGCGGCATGTCTCTAGGATCCCTCTATCCAGAATTGGGCAATATTTCAACGGACTTCAAATCCAACCGTGCCAAATCGTCATGTTTTTACGCTATTCTGACTCAATTTTTGAATCCGTTCATGTGTTTAAACATGGCCTCAACGTTTTGAGAAACATTTTGAAATGCTCAAATATCTCRAAAATTTAGGTTAAGATTTCATTCAAACTTCGTCAGTATGTCAATTATGTTATTAAGAAATGACTCTGAAAATTTTATTACAATCTCTGCGATGAGTTTTGAGAAAATTGACTTTGAAGAAAAATGAAGGTGTTTTTATTTTGCATTGATTATCCAAATTGCTTCCATTTTTTGGCAAATTAATCTATAAATAAGAATTATCGATAAACACTTATACTCCTGTGAAAATTTGAGTGCAATCGAATCGAAATTTGCGACGTAGTTGGAGTTGAAACATACGCGCGAAACGCTATTTATTACGATAGAAACACCTTAAACTAGCTGCGCACGCAGATGTTTTATCAGATTGGCTACCGAAACCGCAATCTCGTTCCAGAGCCCGCGTTCCTCTTGGCCTGGGGGCGCGAGCAACCACGAACTCTGGCCTAATCCATATTTTTCATCAGATTTTCTGGTGTTCCGGTTAAATTGCGCATGCGTGTGAAAAAGAAAAATGGCGGAAATTTGTTTTATAGTTCGCTAGACCACGGTCTATCGGCTATAGGAATGCCAAATTTAGCTTTRAAAACCAAACAATTTGAAATTTTAGAAAGTGTTGTTGTGTTGGCCGGTAAAGACATTTGAAATTTTGAATTTTTTCGCTAATACTAACGAGATTTGTGGCGCACAGTCTACATAAATATCCAGAGAAACCGTCGTCTTCATGTATGTTATCTACTGAGCATATATCTTKCAAAGACGTTAAAACGCCCTCTCTCTTCGACTTGTTTCCAAACAAATTTACTTTGTAGCGATCTAAAAGTTTATTGCAAAGTCTACAAGTATTATAAACTTGATGCGTCGCCGCTTTCTTCGGAGAAGACATTGCTACACTCTGTTGCTCCACTTTACAATTAATTTTTGTTTACAATTTTGCAACATCTTCAGTGGGGCTAGCCCGAATTTTGGCGCTGTTCAACTATGATTGGTCAAATTTTACTTCCGGAGACGTCCGCACTCGTAATGAGGAAGGCCAGAGTTCGTGGTTGCTCGCGCCCTCAGGCCAAGAGGAACGCGGGCTCTGGAACGAGATTKCCGAAACCGTCSTCTAGATMAATAAAATTCACGTGTCCCATTGAACGCCATCGTTTCACAAGGGGCGCATCAATTTAGCGAAGCAAAAGCATGCACTACCTAGCCCGAATGGCAGAACACAAAATGTGAAATAGCGGACTACATTGCCAAATTGCCAGGAAAATCCCAGATACTTTTGGTGCTCTTCGAGAATATCTACGTGATGATAGCCAGATTTTAGATCCCAAGTAAAAAACCAGGAGCCCTCTTCTATAACTTGAGATAATGACCGCAAGTCCTCGTATTTTAGTTCTAGCTAGATACGTGTTAACATGTCTAAGATATATAACAAGGCGCAGCTTTTTTCCTTCTGCAACTGTTAATGGGTTGACACAAAAAGGCGGTGAACTGTGTTCCTTAATGCAACCGTTATCCAATAGCTCTAAATTGGCTTCATTCACAAATCCCGGGTGTTTAAAAGAGGATGCATTCATTCCTCAAAAAACAACTGGGCGGATAATCGTTAAACGGCAACCTGTATCCCTCAGCAATCATGCTAACGACAAAATCAGGAGCATCTAACTTATCACTCCAAAAATCTAAACAACGTTTAACGCCTTTACTGGTATTATCGACGTTATATTCGTCTAAATGACAAGAAGTTGATTCAAAATAAGTGTCATCATACTCAAGTGTCATCATACTTTGTCGTTTGGCTCATCTAGTCATTTTGCTGTTTGTGGTACCAGGGGTACTTAGGTTTGAAGAGGAGACTGATTTATTGCAGTTGGCAATTAAATGACCATATTGCCCACACTAAGTATATCACAGGGAGCACAGGCTCTTTATCAGTGGTTCTTAYGTACACCACTCCTCCCCTCTATATTTACCGTTATTTTGAAGAGTTTATGTGGTGTTATTGAATCGAGAATTTCTCGCTTGAATTTTAWTAAATYGAAACAAAACTCAAAYMTGTTGTTATTGATGTATTGTGCAATCCCCTGACGAAGTTTCAGCCGATTTCCTTGAGTTTACGTGCCTTTCTCCCCACCAAGCAAAGAAGAAGTGCTCCCTGTAATAAAGTGAGTAATAAAGACTAACAAAAACTTGAGTAAGTAGGTGTCGTCCCTAGTGTTCGACCCGAAGGAAGAACCAAAACGCATTTACTCTTTATACTGCATACTTCATTACAGTAATCAGTAATGCAGAACAATGTTCACGTTAACTAAAGAATTCCTTGCGTAGCGTGCAGAAAACAAATATCAGCTATACTGCGTACCGCGGATATTTTTCTAATGTGATTGATGGACACCATCAATGAAATTCTTGATACAACAACCATTGTGTATATGTCAGATGTTTTTGTTATGGGTTTACTACTGTACTACATATTGAAGTTTAGTTATTTATCTTACATATTTTATTCCTATATAGATCTTTCATTGCCTATATCTGTGGATTTCATTCGCTTGAAAAGTTATGAGGTTTGTAAACTCTGTAAGGAATTGTGAGCATCGTAATGATAAACTAAGTAATTATTTTAAATAAATGCAACACCCAAAAGGCCTTCAACTGGAATCAAACCCTTGACCTCTGCTTTGCTAGCCTGCGTGGCGGCTCTAGGGGAGGGGGGAACTCCCCACCCCCTCCCCTTCCGTTTTCCCCCTCCCCCTCCCCTAGAGCCGCCACGCAGGCTACTGCATATTATAACTTATTGGTATAATTTTCAGCTCTGATTGCCGTTCAGTTATTGACTAAAAGTTATTGTCACATGTTATGAATTCTTACAAATTGATGAATACAAATTTTAGATAGTGTTGAACAGATCTCTCATGAGTGATTGAGTGAAAGATTTTCAGAAGAAGATAAAATATCCAAGAAATCATGTAATATTCTGTTTATCATACAATTATCCATGAAAGCATTCGTGTTTTGAAACAATTTTTATTTACCTCCAATATATATATAAAGGTACAAATTATTATCCCCTTAAATCATCCACAGGCATGATCCTTCGTCATGATCCTAATAGACCTAATCGGCTTCATCCCAATTAAAACCACCCGGGAGTAAGTTTCATTGTTCGTTGTATTTTTATTTCACAGTTGAATTCTTAGAAACAAAAGTTCTTTTTCCCACAGGATTTGAATTGGGTGGCAACGTGCATAGCAACGCCGTTAGCCGATTAGGTCTATTGAAAGACTCATTTCCTTATAAAATGTTATTTCTATGTAATATGTAGACATTGATTAATGATCATATTTAGTATATAAAACTCTTTCTTGGTTGTAGAATGACAAATCTTCTGGAGAGGTTCAGATTATTGGCGGTGACAATTTATCTTCTTTGAAAGGAAAGGTAAAATGTAAAAATATGAAAAGATTAATGTTTTGAAGAAATTGATATCAATAGAAATTATTGTTTCATTCTGTATTAATATTATGTACAMATTTATAAGAAAGATGTAGTTTCTGTCACTTTTTTAATATGTTCTGTTTGTTTCTTTATTAGAATGTTCTTGTCGTCGAAGTAAGTGACAAATATTATTTTTATCTGACTAATTATGCTTACCGCCAATTCTATAGCCATCATTTTCACTACAATGGCGTCAAATGTGTCCCAAAATAGGTAATTTCAAGTGCGGCGGAACCTAGAGGGGAGAGGAAGTGCCCTTCCCAAAAAAACTTGTGTCACCTCATAAAAATGCGAGGCACAGATAGTTAATGTCACACTTTCATTTTCACCATGATCTTACGCCATTAAAAGTCCTCCGACCATAGTGCATATCGCATATTGTATTTTTTGACTCACTTATCAATGTGTGTTCATACAAAACCTTTTCTGGCGATCTCATCTTCATCTTATTAAATAGGAACATTTTAAAAATTGTTCGAAATTACAATCGTCTCCATTTAAAGTAAGAGACGGCATTTAATCTCACGTTCCAAATCTTTGGTCGAATTTATATTTTCAACCATTGATAAAAAGATAAAAGTRAATGCTGACTGGCTAAATCAAATCTCACAGGGTAAACAAACAAATCTTGAAGAATCCATCTTGACAATTTTAGTTAGATAGGGTGGGGTAATTTTCTCAATTAACGTGATTCTTATTCTGTAGGATATTGTGGATACTGGKGCTACCATGCTGAAACTTTTAAATACTTTGAAAAAATTTGAACCAGAAACGATCCAAGTAGTAAGGTGAGTAAAGTATGCATAATTTCCATCAGAAGTATATAAGTAATGTATACARAACCAGAGAGCGTGTTGTATCGGCTGATAAAGTTCCGAGCCGAAGGAATGTGCTTGCCAAACTATGGAAAATTAGAATTGTCAAAGGAATTGCAAGATACTAGGCATTCGTAGTTAGCAAAAATGTCGAGTCGATTTCGGAGGCCCAAAACTCAACATAGAGGAAAGCGCTATTGTTCAGGCGAGTGTTTCACAAATATTCTACAAAATGGGCCGCATCCTTATTTTGCGATTAGCAAAAAAGACTGTGCGAACAAGAAAGCCATAAATGAAAGCATCAGATTCAGTTTCAAAAACAGCGAGTCATTCCAAGATGCTGACACTAATCTTGAAGAYATGAACGCCGAGTCGTTGATTTTTTGGATGGTGGCAAATTCATACAAAACGGGGCGCGAACGAGTAAATTGCGAGGAAACGAAACATTGCTGCAACATTGATCTTTTGTGTTTGATTGTGTTTGATTGCACGCGAGTTWAGACATTTTAAATATTTTCAGGGGAGTGTGGGACTGAGTATAGGCGAATAATTTCTTTGCATTTCGGTTCATTAACATATCATTAGCATAAGCATATAACGTTTTAACCTAACTATCAGTAAATCAGCACTGAATATTGAAACAATATAGCACAATAAGCTTTCCACGCAATTTTGAGCTTCTCATATGAAATACTTTTTTGATTATATGAGCTAATTAGCGCTTTTGCCACTCAGCATCTTTGAACGCTAATATCTTATAAACTATTCCATGTAATGACCTTAAACTTTCGTAGTTTATAGTTCTTAATAAGTCCTTTTACATTATAAACTTATTTTACAGTTTTCTTTAATTTAAACTTTATGCTAATTAGCAAAATTTTGTAAACAAAGATCCGCCTATTATTCAACGTTTTCCTGATACAGACCTAATTAATAAAACATTAG